GTGGGGGCTGTCAAGGCTGTGACTGTGTGGGCCTTTATTTAACCAGAGAAAAGAAAGGGGGAGAAATGGGGGAGAGGGACCGGGGTGGGTAGAGTGGAACCAGAGGAGAGTTTGGACACAGACGGCCTTGTTAACAGCCCCCCTCCAAAGTGGGAGAGGATGAGAAGGAGGAAGAAATAGGACAAGATGAAGTAAAAGCGGGAACAAATTCTGCAGAAAGCCTTAAAACTTCCCCTCACTTACGTCACTTCTGTTTTTCCCATGCTCCTCCCTTCCCTTTTTCCCTATCTGATCCTTCCATCTATCCCGGCATCAGCTCACTCTTCAGCTCAGTAACGAGCCTTTTGCCCTCCTCCCTGCCCTGCCTCAGCCCCTTCTCACCCTCTGTCATTAGTTTACACACATTCCATTATCAGGGAAGGGAGACCAGGCTAAAAGAGATGTCTGGGGTCAGAGCGATCATTATCATCACCTCTTTCCGCTACACTGTGAGTTATAGCCCACCGTATAGGAAACAGACATTTAAATCATAATCAATAGAGCAATATCAATGCCTAGAAGGATGGCGGAAGAAAATCACTGCCTCGACTCAGGGGGAATCCAGACTCTACATTAGGCTGAGATAGTGTACATATAGAAAAAATCTGATTAATCCATAGAAAACATTATGAGGCATCATTCTAAATAAATGGTTTGTTTTGTTTGTTTAAAAAAAAGTCACAAATGTATGGCAATGGAAAGGTGCAGAATTTGACGAGTTTCCCTGGATATTAATTTGTGAGCTGTGTCAAAATCTCAAAAAGAGATTGTTGCCATGCTGTGTATATCATATAAGCCTCTGGTTGTGTTAAGGTGACAAGGGAAGAGATGTCTCTTATGAGAAGACATACACATCTCATGCCACACAATTTTGTGTCCAGCAAGGACAATGCAAGGAGACAGGTGTGACCGGGCCTGGCTCTGACCACTCCACAGTCACTGCTGCCATCACAGCTGAGATCGGGGCTGAATTGCCATCTTGGCTCTGCCACGGGCAAAACATGCCAGTTCTTCATTCAGCACTGTGGTTGTGATTTGGCACTATATAAATAAAATTGAATTGAAATTGAATTGCATCCCTGTAAAGGCCTAACAGTTTTGAGACCAAATGGAATATAAAGGGATGTAATCAACTGGCACAAATTATAGCTCTTACATGTGGACAAAGAGCATCTGGACTGTTATTAAGTGATCTTACAGTTTGCGTGATTGAGAAACTATCATGCGATTTAACCCGGAATTTAATTCACACTTGTGGACAGGTTACATGCTATATTTGGAAACCCTTGTTTAAGCCACTGAGGCAAATTGAAAGAAAATCTGACTTGACCCTGTCCAAGTATTGCTTATACAACCCATTTTCAACTGACTTTATGAAATACATTTTGGATTTGACATGAATCATTTAAAAAGATGAGGTAAATTCTTTCCTCTTGTGTAGTGCAGCTAGAGGGAATTTTCCACATTTTGATGTGTCAGTTTCTTTTGTCAAAGCAAACACTTCTGATAGAAAATTTTCAGCTTGATATCCAAAAGCAGCGTCATGTCTTTTTAGGGAGAAGAAAGACAATACCTGTCAAGGCATAGACAACACTTTCCTCAACCTGTAAAATTGCCTTATATTTTGAGACTGAAGTAAAATATACATTTAAAATATCACTTTTTTTTATCACGTCACAGGAAATTTAAAAAAAAAATACAAAATTGACTTGAAAAGTATCATATCAACAAGAATCTTTCAATGATTTACTAATTATATTGTGTTTGTTGAACAAATTCTACTGGGACATTGTAGCTATGTGCAAAGTATCCCAGTTAATTGGTCAAATAATTAAAAAAAGGCTTAAGACATCGATCAGCACATTGATCTGATTTCCAGTAGCGACTATTAGATGATAGTTTATAATTAGATACTTGTTCTAAAACGCCTAGCATCTCTGACTAATTTTACCTAGATGTCAGGTTTAGTAGTGCAATAGAGCAAACAGCTAGCATGACTAAATAGTTCATAAACACTGTGTTTCAGCTCAGAATTCCAAAGTTGTGTGTAGGTGTGAGCTGTGAGCAGAGTGAGAGTGCACTGCACATCACGGTTGTGTGCAGCTGAAGCCCACGCAGCGCTGATCAGACAGAGAATATTCTGCTAAGTCTGGAAATCTACAGCCCAGTCCAAAGTGAGTGAAGAGAAATTCAGAAAGCTTCAACCTCAAACGCGGATATTCTATGTCGTATTTTATTGCATTTGTAATCTGAAGTATCAGCCGCCTAATCTCTAATCAGAAAGCCCGGATTTGATATTTGGATGATTTTGTTCTTTTCATAGGTGACATAAAAATATATCCAAAATAATACCAGTATAACACAAGTGTGAAGATGAACAACTGCTATAAATGTAAACGTAGAAATAGCATGTGCATAAAACAATTACTTTGCTATCTTAATTGCTTTCCAAAGCAAACACTCTCTGTCACCTTACCAATTAAAACATAACCGGGGGCTATGGGGGATATATTTTTAAATGGTGCCTGCAGCATGCCTAGTTTAAGATACTGGACTCTGCCTCTAAATTTTAATGACCAGTTGTGTGGATGCACAGGAATCCACACTGCTAAACAAAAACTCACTGAAGACTATAATGGAGCAGTTTTTCATCATGACAGCTGAGGATCCAACTGTAATAATTTGCATTTTGGCATATAATAATCCTTGATAGTGCAATTCCAAATGGATAATGTTTGCAGTATCTTTTCAATTAGGCTAACAGTTGTACAATTCCCTTTACATGCCTGTCCCGTGACATTTCTCAACCCATCTGACATATACTTGGTGAAGTGTGAACCATTTTGCAAATGAGGGCTATTCTGGGAGAGTCACGTCTCCTCTGTCTCTCTCCCATACACCCTGGAGAAGGTTGTAAAAGCTGTTGTCCTTTAGTTACCACAGAAAGGGAGGAGGAGCAGCGAGATAAAAAAGAAAAGCAAAAGCTCTTAAGCTGAAGTCCTCCTTTCTCCTCTTTCTGTCTGCGTCTGTCTCTGTTCCTCTGCCTGTCTCTTTCGCTCTCTCTCTGCATGCGCTCTGCTGCTCTGTCATCCTCAGGGATGCATCTGAAGGAGACCATCTGTTGATCCATTTGTCTCCTCCTTTGCTGCTTGTGCCACATCTCTCTACCATTAGTGGCCAGGCAGTGCCTTTCCCCCTCTCCACCCTTTTTGTTAGGACCGACAGGTCCTGGGGCCGGGTTGACGCTGTGGCTCATGTAGGACGTTGTGACCAGATTCTCTTGATGAGTAAAACAGCTCTCAGCTATTAGCCAATTGTACACATTGACTGCAGACCTGAAGTTTTGCAGACATAACTGAGAGGGGCTATCAGAGTACAAAGTGCAGGCAAGCCTGGGTAAAGCCTTGCCCTTTCATATCTATTAAAACCATGGATATGTATAATTGAGATATTTCTGTAACAAATTGAGAAAGCTTTCTTGTGAATATGAATAATTTTGAAAGGGCCGTACCTTAAACTATAATCTGTGCCATAACCAGGTTAAATACTTTTCATGCCCAAATCTAGCAGTAATAAAGTATGCTAAATAAACTATATGTTTTTTATTTTTTTATCCCAACCTATTTTGTTTGCACGTTGACACATGCTACAGTCTGAATATTGAGCAACACTGATAATATTTGTATCCATGGTTTTGAATCAAAAGAAAGTAGGATTTATTTTACTTTGGATTTGCCATTGATCCCACGTGTGATTAGAGAAGGTAACTGTACGAAAGATTGACTGTGAGTTTGTATACACGTAATATTATCTGCTCTATACATTTCTGCTACTCTGTTACATTTTTTTGATGTCGTGGATTCTTACAAATAAATTTGACTTTTGTCAAATCAGCCATCCTTGATAACATATATTATACACAGCTGCATGTCTATATGCTTGTGGTACATTCACTGCGTAAACGGCATTGACCCTGTAGCAAACTGCCTTTTAGTCTGTGCTTAAGTGAGCAGTGACATGAGTAAAAAAACCCAGAACACAGTTTTTTTTTTTAATGAATACATTACCATTTACTTTCCACATTCTCTTTAGAACTTGAAAGCAGATAGTTCATTGCTACATTAAGGCAAAGACCATGAAATAGATGTTAAAAGATTGGATGCTGAAGGACCATCACTAAAGGCTTGCGAATATCCACCATCAACACATTTATTGCTTGTGAAAGATAGTAGGGTGTTGGTTTCCACACATGTCTCCTAGCTGTCACCTCCCATGCATGTTCAGGGATTTGATGGACACTGAGTCCACTGTGGGGACGTCAGGGAATGCCTGCCTCTGATCTTCTCCCACGACTCCCGATTACCCATCATTCAACAGGGCTCAGACACTAGAGAATATCGTGGAAAGGGTGATATGTTGACATGAGCTCTGACGTACCCAAGAGATTTCCTTTCCTCGATGACTTCACATGGCCGATTGCTCCAACGGTGCAGAAAACATACGTGAACAATGTAGGCTGAATTTAGCCCTAAATAAGGGAGGGAACTTAAGAAAGGAGGATGGGGAAAATTACTGTAAATCTCATTTCCGCGTCTTTTCATCTCTCTGTTGATAAGGTTTCCATCAGTGTGCGCGGTTTTCATCAGAACTGCTCAATACACAGTATTTTATGATTAGTATTCACCTGGGGAGACATGTCATCGATTTTCCATAAGGTGCAGATGACATGTGGTCACACACACTCCTATTTTACCAACAACTATGTCATGTAATAAGTCATGGTTTTGCTGCCGCTGTCACCTGGTATGATGGTTCCGATGATGAAGTGAGGGTTGGGTTTGCCATTGTGGATTACCTTTCACATTTCTTTCTTTGAAATGAGTCCTCTTCTTGGTTGAAAGATTTTTTTTTTTTAATCGGCTTCAACTGGGTTTCATTTCATATCTCTTTCTGTATTGCAGGTTTTCTAAGTACGGGTGACCAAGCAGCGAAAGGAAACTATGGACTGCTGGATCAGATCCAGGCTTTAAGGTGGATCAGTGAGAACATAGGCTTCTTTGGAGGAGATTCCAACCGCATCACTGTGTTTGGGTCTGGGATTGGAGCTTCCTGTGTCAGCCTTCTCACCCTCTCCCATCACTCCGAAGGTACGAAACAGTGGGGAAAGGGGTGATGTTCAAAGAGCTAGTTACTAGAAATTGGATTTATGGTTTTCCATTAATGTATTTTTGCATTCAAGTTCTATCTTCACCAGTACAGCTTGTATTGAAATCACATCAGTCCCTTGAAACTATGACATGTCAAGCCATATTTGGATTTAAACGTCCTCTGCTTTTTTTGACAGTCCTATTCTTTATCTCAGAAATAAGCATTTAGGTTTACATTATCTCCATAAGCAGTAGATGTAATAGGGAACTAAATCCAAGCAAAATCACACACACACTGTCTTCTTTCTAAGCAATGCGGTTCATCCCTCGACAAACTTATTGCTGTCTTGTGATTCCTCACCATCTGTGTTGTTCATGCCTTAAATGCTAAATGCAGCTTAACTTGGACACGCAATAAAGATCATTCATACTCATACTACTCTAGTGCATCACAGAATTAAGATGGAGCCTCCCTGCTCGTGAACAGGTAAGTTCTGCAGGAAGTCCATTGGCCCTTACAAATTATCTGCCGCTTTGAGCTCCATTCATGAATGTCAGACTCCAGCTGCCTCCCTGCAGAGCCAAATGGTCACCGCATCATCCTTAATCTGAAATAATGAGTCACATATTCATCCAAGCATCTAAAATCTGGCATTTTACTTGTGTTCAGTTGAAAATAGTTTTGTTAATACTGTATGAAGGTGTTATTTTACAGTACTGTGATGTGGGCATTTTATTCCAAAGGAGAAATCTTGATGATTAACTTCCCTCTTACAGACACACATGATTGGACATGTAAAACTGGGCTTTCACTGTAATTTGCATGGTGGAGAAAATATTAAGAAAATCACTTGTCCTTGAAAAGTGTTGTGGTCAGGAAGCTATTAGGTGATGTACCCCTTCCAAGTAATACACACACTATTTATTTTCTTGGCAATTTAGTAAAAATCTCTATGCTTGAATATTTGATTAGTAGACCAATGTGCATTTGAAGAAGGTCATTTATGCTGATCTTCTTCTGGGGCCCATTACCATGCCAAGGATTTGTGATGTGTTTTGCATTCTCCAATTTGAATTAAAGTGTTACTAATTGCCTTGATTTCCTCCAGTGAATGATGACTGCTTTTGGATTGAATTTTTACCATAGATGCCTTTTTTATCCATGCTCCATAATGCTATGCTCCATGTAGCATGTTATTATACTGCCAGTGAAACCATCTCCTTTGCCTCCCAGTAAATTGGATATTACCGGGTCTGTTTTTTTCCCATGAATGGAAATGTATGCCCCACTGATGGTATAAGAAAAAAAGAGCAAGTAAAACTTGAAAGATTCTTGGAAATTGAAACAGGAAGCCCTCTATCACAGCAGGACTCTCGCTGTGCACGTTACCAATGGCAATCAGATTTCACACAGACTCTTTCAGTGCACAGATTGTTGTAATTATAGAAAGTTTAGGACTGGAGTGTGCTGCTGGATGTGACAGGAAATTTTAGTGAAGAAATTCCTTGTTGCACCTGTTTCAAAGCATCCACTGTAGCAAAATATGGTAGGACATTGTTGCCAAGACAATAAAACAAGAAACAAGAAAAGTATGACAAAGTCTGGATCTGCTTGGTGTTGAAAATTTAAGTTAAATTTCATTAGGAAATAAATCAAACATTTCTTGAGCATCTGCTCTCACACTTATCTTTCTGTCATATTTTGAGTTTCTGTCTCTGAAGGGAAATCACATCAGATAGCAAGACTGCAAAAAATGTACCTTAAAGGGGATTTTTGAGTTATTCCCAAGTAAAATTTTATTTTCTGTCCCTCAAAATTCAGTTTGTGGTATATTGGAAATCTGATGCAGTCATGTGTAGACGTTCACGTGTTTTCATGTCTACATTTTGCCCCACACCTCTTTCTCAGATGCAGGATAATGAAGCCCAAGCAAATGAAAAGAAAAAGGAAAAAGTAAAGAAATAATGATAACAATCCCTTCCCAAGCTCCCCACTGTGTCTGTGTATCTAATGACAGTATTTTTCTTTTTACTATACGCAGTCTGTCATCACTTCCTGAGTAGACTTTCCGTCTAACATGCTTTGTACGCCTATTGGTGGCATAGTGACAACTTATCTCCGATGCTCCACGCTTCTCCTGAAGCTGATTTAATAAGCTGAATCCTTCTATATCATTCCCAGCCCTCGGGCCTTTTTCTTTGATTGCCTGCTCCCCTGGCCTGGCCTTGCTGGTGTCGGTATGTGGGCGTGCCGAGGGCTCCAGTCACTGGGTATATCCATCACATAACCTCTCCTTTCTGGACTCTTTTTTTGGGGATGGCCTGGATGTCCTCTCTGAGGGGTCTGATTTTTTTAGACTCTGGTCCCTGGCCCACCCTCATCATCTAATCTCCTCCTCACGGTGCCCATCGGTCTCCCTGCCTCCACAGACTGTAAAAGCATGAAAGGGACACATGCTGTCTCTCCAGTGTCCCTGTCCATTTCTCCCTCTCAGGGCTTCTGCTGCTTGTGTGGTGTGTTGCTATTAATAAAATGGCTGCCTTGTCTGCGATGTTGCAAGCAATCTGGCTGCACATCTGAGACTTTAGAAGCCGAATGGTCATTAAAAGCGTAGCGTTGCTCAGCAGGAGTGTTTTTTGACCAGCTTATTAAATGTTGCTGAACAGTTGTGTCCCCACTGAGGAAAATCTTTGTCACTATCTCCAGCTTCAAAAAGAAAACAGCAAAGGAAGTTCAGAAGCAAGGACATTAGCCAGTCCCGCATATTATCTATATGGCATCGCACAGGCATTAATTGAACATGCAGATTTGGCTTTTTCCCTATCTCCTAATAATCGTTATGATTTAAACTGTGAGATGCTTTGCGCTACATGAGGAGAATACCAAGTAGCCAATGATCTGAGTGTGTGTGTGTTTGCACATAAATCTTAGAGTACATGTATCTGAGAGAGTCAACACCTTTCCATTCAAAACTCAGTGCAAACATACAGCACATCTGCACTCTGTATCATCACGTGTACCCCATCTCTGCTCATTTGTGCATGCAGATGTGTCTATTCACAGAGCACATGTAAGGAGAGGACTTGTTGTAGAGGCACTGAAGGTCATTTGGTTTCTTTTTTTTCTCTTCCTGTAAGCAATCAGGATAAAAGCTCTGCTTCTGAGGAAGTACTCCCCTTTTAATGGAATGTCTTGGACATTAAAGACAGCTAGTGTAGAGGATCCTTCATGCCAATGTCAGCTTTCATTTTTATTAAGACTTCTGGGTTATTGAGGACCATAAATACGCACGTTAAATGATTGGATTTTATTACAGCAGAGCAAGGAGTAAAGAGACTTTTTAATGTAAGATACCCCTTAGCAAACACCAAACCCCCCTGAACCATTAGCATTGAGAGGCCAGTAAGGCAGGTGCTCAGTTTTAAGGGGAATTTATGTTTTTGATTCCGGATAATTGGAAGGATAGCTAAATTCAGATCAAATTTTGATTATGAACTTCTTAAAAGAATGTATGATTCATGCAGTTATTAGAAGTAATTTGAATCAATATAATTATGTGTCCTACTGATAGAGAGATACTGTCACTTCTATCAGACTGATTTTACTCTATAATTATTGCAAGAAGAGCCGAGCCCCTGTGTTTTTTATGTTAAATCATTGTAAAGTATATGAAGTGAGTCATTGTAAAAAAAAAGAATAGGAAAAACAATAAAAATATCAACGACTTTTATTTTATTTTGGAAAGTATTTTTATGTGCTACGGTGGTGTCGCCTCACAGCACGAAGGTTCTGGGTTCAAGTCCCCTGTGTGGAGTTTGCACGTTCTCCCTGTGTCTGCGTGGGTTCTCTAACGGGTTCTCCGGCTTCCTCCCACCATCCAAAAACCCGCGTTTTAGGTTGATTGGACATTTCAAATTTCCCTTAGGAGTGAGTGTGCATGGTTGTTTGTCTTTGTGTGTCTGTGTGTGGCCCTGGGGACGGACTATTGGACCGTCCAGGGTGTACACGCCTCTCGCCCATTGACTACTGGGATAGGCTCCAGTCCCCCCGCAAACCCATTAGGGAATAAGCAGTTCAGAAAATGGATGGATGGGTGGAAGTCTTTTTATAAACAGGCACAAAATATATGTAAACTTTGAATATGTTATCTGCTCAAGAATGTTCAATTAAGATGTGTACTATTCTGCTCGACATGGCTCGTCTTCTGATGTTCTGTTGTTCAAATAATTGCTTTCAGAAAATTTAAAGAGCAGGCCTCCATGTGCGGTCTTATCTGGGCCTTGAGGCAATTTCAGTACACAAATCAGGGAAGATGCAGTGTTTCTGGTATTTATTTAGCCCATGGAGCTACAGGGGAAGGAAATAAGACTGACAGCAGCATTTCTCAGACCTCAACTTAATCTGGCTCTGTCAATCTTGGGGGTGTTGTGGGAATCAAAGCCTGCATTGCCACGAACACCTGACCTCCGCTCTGACAACCATTTACCATGTACACGCAGGCTTGTGGTCGTCTTTAGAGTAAAGAACACGAAGAGCATTGTGATATGGCTGCTGGGAATTACAAGAAAATGTTGAACTCTGAGTTGTATCTTGAGATATGACACATAATCCAAGGCTAATATGCATGTTGCTTCAAATTTATCTTAGAGAGGGAAGAAACAGGCTAACATGCTGCCTTGGAGTGTGGGAGACTTACACTATATCTCTTATTTTTCTATAGATGTAATATTACATCTGGGACTGATCTATGAAAATAACGGGTGGCTTTATTTTCAGAAACATGACCCATGAGCTGTTTTTTCATGGAAAAGCCCACAGGTCTTCGCTCCATAATGTCCCGCATCTTAGCGCTCACCATAAAAAGTGTCATTGTAGCTATCCACATTAAGCGTCAACTTCATTTCTGCAGGATCAGGCGTCCATTGCCTGTCTAGTTTAAGCGCGGAATAAAGGGACCTTGCCAGAGCAGGAATATGAATTGAAGTCACAGAGAAAGATA